CAGTGATTGGACGCTGCCGGGGAGGGCCACGGGGCGTGGGGCAGCGCCCTCCTCGTTGCGCTGCGAGAGGGAGACGGGGGTCAGCGGGTGGCCAGGGACGGCCCCCCCACACACACACACCTGGGCACCTGGAGCAGGATGGACCCCCCGGGTGGGGGGCACAGGGGATGTGACTGCCAGCTGCTTTTGGGGTGGGGGCTGTGTGGGGGCACGGGGCACCCCTCCAAGCCCTGCCTGGGGGTGGTCCCCCTGGAAAGGGGCTCCATCCCTCCAAGTATGCCATGGCACTGGTGCAAGGGGGCGAGGGGGGCACCTGGCGAAGGGGCGACACCAGGGCTGCCAGCTGCTCCCCAGCAAACTGGGGTGAGCCCTGGGGTGCCCTGACCTGGTGCCCCCTGCTCCCTCCCCCCAACCTGGGATACCCCAACCATGAGCAGCCAATCACAGCCCACAGCCCAGGGTGCCCCAACCCCGAGCAGCGCATCATGCCCCCGAACCCAACCAGCCAATCACCGCCCACAGCCCAGAGCACCCTAACCCTGAGCAGCCAATTGCAGCCCATGCCTCCCCCTGCCCCCTTCCCATGGGAGCATATACACATACATGCGCACACGCGTGCCACCGCAGAGCCCTGTCGTGGGCACGGGCACCCCCGGCCCACATGCATGGGGAGCAGTCATGCCAGGAAGGGCACACACACCGTGCTGCATACATGCCCACGCATGATGCCCCTGCAGCTGCCCACAGCCCGTCCCAGGCATTGCGGCCCCCCGCTAGGAGGACGGGAGCCCCCCGGGGGCCTCAGCCCCCTCTTGTCCCCAGGCTGTGCCGAGGGAGGCACCTGAGCCTGCAGGACTGGTTTCCGCGGCCTGTCCGGCCCGGCTGGGGCAGACGTGGCCCCCAGCCCCCCCCGTGCATGGGCCCGGGGCCCGCCGGCCACCCCTGCGCAGAGGCTGCCCCCGGCTGGGAAATGCCCCCATGGGACAAGTGGGACGGGGACGGGGACGGGGACGGGGATGGGGATGGGGACGGGGGGCAGCACAGAGCCCTGAAGGCCAGGGCCAGGGCCAGGGCCAGGGCCAGGGGCAGACTCCCTGGCCCTGACACTGACTCCCCACCTGGCCTCGGGCACATCCCTCCGTCTCCCAGACTGCAGCTCCCCCCGGCTCCAGGTTGGAGGGGGCCGGGAGAAGCACGGGGCCCAGGGGCAGGGGGGCAGTTACCTGCAGTTGGGGCCCTGCGGCAGCAGTGGGCGCGGCCCAGGCAGCCCCATGGCAGGCGCCGGAGCTGGGCAGCAGGCGCGGGGACCCCCGTGCAAGGGGGGCTGAGTGGGGGGGTCCTGGGGGCCTGCTGAGCCCCCTGCTCTGCCCCGGGGGGCTGCGAGCCAGGCCAGGCAGGGCAGGAGGCCTGGAGCTGCCTCAGCCTCCTCCGGCTCCGTCATCTCCCGGAGCCACGGCCACTTGTCACATCACACGGCGTTGCCGTGGCAACCGCGCCACATGTTGCTGATGGAGACCGGGCTGGTTCCCTTCCCGGCCCGCCCTTCCTCTCCCCACCCCCCAGACCCCCAGGGCAGCCCCCGGAGCGCTGGCACCGTCACC